TTTTTTTTTTTTTTTTTTTTTTTTTGCTTTCTTTCTTTTGTTTGCTATTCGGCAACAATAAATTTAAGTATCCAGAAATGAAAAGCAAAAACTGATAGTTTAGTATGTAGCCTGTGAAAAAAAAAAAAAAAGAGTTGATTTTCAGTAAAGAAAGAAAAAACTTAAAAGAAATTGTAAAGAGAAATCATAAGTCAAATTTTTATTTTATTCTAAACGATTTGTAATTCTCAATTTTTTTTTTCGCTTTGCTTTCAGTACCGTTACTGTTTTATTGCTAATTATAGTCGCAGTTAATTGACAATTTGACCGAATGAAAAATTTTATTGGACAGTCATCAAACAATTACAAAATATACTTCTGACATTTTTTGAAGATTGTCTTCAGTTTTTGAACAGAAAAAAGTAACTGTTTCTTTCTTTTTTCCTCCCCCCCACCTCCCAAAAAAAAAACAAAGCAAAATTGATTTGTACAGAAGAAAATAGGTTAAAACAACAACAACAGAAAAAAAAAAGAAATAAATAGAAATTTTTTTAAAGTTATACACCATTTTTTGCTGTAACATAGTATAGAAAAGATATTCAAGAAAACCTCATGCAACACATTTTTGTATGCTCTTCTTGTACACAAAATTTTAGTGGGCACTAAACCCCCCAAAAAAAAGAAGAAATAAAAGGTTATTTGTGCCATTGAATAAGAAGTACTGACGCTAAAAAATGAGGGACAACAGAGCAGCAAGAAATGACACTCTTTATTTCTATTGTCATTATAGTTTGTTGTTGAAACTGAAAATGAGAACAAATAGTTTAGAACCAAAATGATGAAAATAAATAAACCATTCAAATTTAAAATGACTGCAAACCATACAAAAAAAAAAAGGCAATCACACTATTTATTCCTTTTTTACCGCACCCTAAAAATCTGCAACAGTCTATCCTTTTCCCAACTTCCAAATGGCCGTTCTACGTCTGTTTACTGTTGCTGCTCAGAAAGGTTACTTACTATCCGTCAGTTACTGCCTTCTCCGACAAACATCAAACATCAACAAGACATATCAGGATGAAAAAAAATTGAAAATTTTGGTGGGTTCACGACAAGCCAAAGATCGATAATAGTTAAAAAATGAGCATTGAAAAGAAATAATCGAATAGATGGATATGTTGAATAAATGAATAGGTGGATGGTTAGATGAAAGAGGCTAGAAAATAAATGTGTAAAAGAAAGAATGAAGAAAATTTAGTGTTAAAGAAGGAAAAAGAAAAATTCAACTAAACGTGAAGACATTTGATTGCTTACTTATTTACATAGTGAAAAAAGAAGTATTGAAATAAAACTTTTCTGCGGTGTTGTTTCATCTGTTTTTTTTTTTTTAAATTCTTTTTTTTTTTTCTGTTTATCATCTGATGTCATAAAAAGTAAAATAAAGTAAGCTAAAATATTTCAAGAAAAAATTAGATTTTTTTAATTTATTTTTTTTCTTAACATTAATAAAAAGAGCTTTTTTGAAAAATAAATGCAGTCGAAAAATTGTAGTCTGCTTACTTTTTCTTTTTTTTTTTTTT